ACCATGCTAAGATATAGCCTTACTCATGTGTGTGAAAGAGAGATGTGAAATAGGAGAGTAGAAAACTCAGATCAAGTTGTAATCAAATTATAAAAACAAATTAAACAAAACGGATAGCCATACTAAATTAGAGTTGCCAGGGAGAGAATGCATATCACAATCCTTATTTCATATTCAAAGATGCAGAGTGAATTAGATTTACAGCAAAAACAAAACAAAAAACAATAAGAATATGGAATGAACATCACAGTTGTGCCTTGAACTCAATCTGCATAGTAGGTAGCATAAAAAATTTAAAAACAAAATCCGAATGCAGAGATTCAAAATGAACATGTTATCATTTGTTTTTCACAAAATCCAGAATGACAGGTAAGAGGAAAGCTGTTACTAGAGTGAGTGGAGTTAATAAAAGCCCAATTTGGTACCTGACACGCTAAAGCTCTTCCCCTCCTAACAGAAGTATCCTCCGTAAGTAAGATCAGGGCTCCACTTAGTTTTCCTATGTAGTTGTCTGTTAGTTTCATCTATAGTAACATCATTGTTCTCAGTTTTTTTAGCACCTTTAAAAATGGGAACTAGTGAACCTGAAAACTTGTGCCGGAGGCTTATGATGTAGATGGAGAAGCTGCAGCAACACACTGTGCCTCAACAGTGGTTGCGTCAACTTTTGCACTCATGTTTCCAACACTCAAACTTGCCTTCAATAATCCTTGAAAAATCAATGCATACAGAACATGCTGCAGTCTAACAATGGACAATACCAAATGTGAGACATATACCAAAGAAAATATTACACTATACCCTCTATGTAAACATACATAAAATCCCTCTCATATAGCACATAACCCAAAAAAAGCACTCAACTAGCATGACCAGTAAGCAAGTGATCAAGACACAAACACCCTATATAGATAAAATTAACTCAACCCCATATAATAAATTCCAAAACTTTCAACATTTCTACAACAATAAGAATCCATAAATTATACTAATAAAGACAATGTATATAAATTGAAAGAGACCCAACAAAATTGAGTTTGTTGCATGACATTTTTGAATTGACCACGAGTTTGTTGCATGACATAAATTATACTCATAAGCTTTTCTTGTAATGTGTCACAGAGGGGTATGGATGTATGCTCTATAAGCTCTGCTATCTGCAGCATAGAGGGGTATGCTCTATAGGTTCATTTTTTTTATTTACTTTATAATGTAATTAGTTTACTTTTATTTGGTTTCTATCTACTTTTGAAATTGATAAAATAATACTCAAAGGAGACATTATTAGTTCAATAATAGCAGAGTGTGTAAGCAGCAAGTAATATAAGATTTAGCTTTATAACTTCTTTAGATGGTAAAATTGTACTAGGTTGTTCAATCTCTCTTACAAAGCCATAACGTCGCGTTGATTTGAATGACTGCTTAAGTTTTTATGAAATATGCAGGGGCTAGATTACAATGAATTTCTAAATCAACAGATCAGCAATTAAGATTAAGAACAAAGAAATGATCAGCTTTTTATCAACCAATGATCAAGAATAGGCAGAAAAGTGACGAGCTTTGCAATAGATTACTACCTGGCTGTGAATGTAGACTCTAACGTTCTCCAAGTTTGAAGCATTGCCAATTAGGCCTGGTTATTGGGTAGGGCTACCCAATGGCAAAAGGGTCGGGCCTAATACTAAAGGGTTTTGACCCTTTAATTTTTTAATGGACAGGGCTTTTATAGGGTCTTATTTTATAGGGTTTTTATAGGGTTTTATTTTATAGCCCAATAATTTAATAATTAAACTAAAGAGCCCAATAATAATTGTAAGGGTCAGCAGTCAGCTACTACCTCTCTTCCATTTTCTCTCTCCTCCATTTTCTCTCTCCTCCATTGAAGCCACTCAGAGTTCTCCATTGAAGCGCAACTTCAGAGTTTTCCATTAAAGCACTCAGAGTTCTCCATTGAAGCGCAACTTCAGAGTTCTCCATTGAAGCGCAACTTCATAGTTCTCCATTAAAGCGCACTCAGAGTTCTCCATTGAAGCGCACTCAGAGTTCTCCATTGAAGCCGCGCACTCAGAGTCATCAGGTAACATCATTTTCTCTCTCTTAATCTGTTATTCAATTTTAATATCTGATTGAAGATCCGGTTTAGGTTATATGATGTGATCGAAAATCAATTCAAATTGGATTTTCTTCTGGGTGATTTTGCTTCTTACTTGAGCTTGGAGAGTGATAAAAGGATTGTGGGTAATTTTGCTACTTATGAGTCTGTTGTTCTTGGTGTTGCTAATGCTGATTTATTTTGGTGTTTTTAATTATAATTTGGGAGTTTTTTTTGCTTGATTATAATTGTGTTTGATCTGAACTCATGGATGAATGATTATAACCCTTAATTTTGTGTGCTAATCATGTCACATATTTTCTGCACTTGTGCCATTGAATGTTTTCATTTCTATATTAGCTACAATTTGAAAATACTTGAATTAAATCAAACCAATAAAGGCTTGATAAAGTATACTATTAATCCATCTATATATTCATACAAAGCCCATATTATCTACTAATATATGTAGTACTTTGAATGAATATAATGTGACTAAGCTGATGATTTAATTATAATTTGGGAGTTTTGCTTGATTTGATTATAGTAGTATAAGAATTGACTAAACTAGCATGATTATAGAACGAGAAAGCAAATGTGGTACTTGTGTGTTGACTGTTAAGGTTAGTGTAGTTGTGATACTACTACTACTACACTGAATTGGAGGCTGGACACTTATAAAATTTAACTATGTAGTACAAGTAGTATTTGTTTTATTACCTTAGCAAAGCACAACAGACCATATAAGATTCTGTTTTCGGATTTTGCTATTCTCCTGATCGAACTCCTAAATGTGCTGGCAGGGCAAAACAATTAATACGGATGATGATACTACTACTACTACTACTTCTACGGCACGTGATGATGGATATAATGAATACATTACTCCGCAACGAAAGAGAAAGAAGAGGTCTAAAGTTTGGAGAGAGCTTATTGAAGGGAAGAATGTTCAAGGTGAGAGAATTGCTACATGTGTACATTGTAATTCTATTTTATCTGCAAATCGTGATAGTGGTACATCTCATTTGAAGCGTCATTTAGAGAGGTGTGCAAATAGGCCTCTAGGACTTACATTTGAGGAAGATAGTGATGAAGAAAATTTTGTTTTTGACATGAATGAACTTCGAAAAGAGATTCTTAATTTCATTGTTGAGGGAGGTCATTCATTCACTATGGTTGAAGAACAAGGATTTAGGAGAATGATGAAAAGAGCTACCCCTAAGTTTAAACCATTTGGTCGTGCAACCACAAAGAGAGATTTATTGAAGGCTTATGTATTGGAGAGGGATAAATTGAAAGATTTCTTGTCTAATGTTTCGGGTAGAATTTGTTTAACAACCGATAATTGGAAATCAAATCATACTAGACAACATTTCATTTGTGTCACTTCTCACTTTGTTGATGATTCTTGGAAACTCCGTAAAAAAATTCTTAGGTTTAGGGCCTTAGCTCCTCCATATGATGGGATAAGTATTGCTAATGAGATTTGTATGTTCCTTTGCCAATGGAAATTAGATGATAGGATACTCTCTATCACCGTTGATAATGCAACTTATAATGATGCAATGATATCTTGTTTGAAGAGACGTCTTGTTCCTAGAGGAGGGTTAAGTTGTGGTGAGACATTGTTTCATGTGCGGTGTTGTGCCCATATTATTAATCTTATTGTGCAAAAAGGATTGACTTGTATTAGTGGAATTTTGGATAAAATTCGTTCATTTATAAAGTTGATCATCAAATCTTCTCATAGAAGTGAAGAATTCTATGATTGTGCGGAGAAGATATTTCACCTTGATGTAAAAAGGAAATTGAACCTTGATATGCATGTTCGTTGGAATTCCACGTATAAAATTCTTGGCACTTCTCTTTACTTCAAAGATGTTTTTCTTCACTTGAGATCTAGTCATGCTTCATTTCAATCATATATTCCTTTAGAGGATGAGTGGGAAAAAGTAAGCGTGATTCACAATTTTTTGGAGTTGTTTTATGAGGTTACTTGTATGTTTTCGGCGGTGAATTATCCTACTTCTAATGTGTATTTTAAAGGTGCATGGATGGTGCATCGCCATTTGCTTGAGGCGGAGAAAGGTCCTTATGATTATTTAAAGGAAATGGTGAAACCAATGCTTGAAAAATTTGACAAGTATTGGTCGGATTACAATTTTTACTTGTCATGTGCCGCCATTCTTGATCCGAGGTACAAAGTGAAATTTGTGGAATATTGTTTTAGTAAGTTATATGGAAGTGTAGAGGTCTCAAGACGAATTAACTTGGTGTTGGGAACTATGAAGTCAATGTTTGAGGACTATAAGTTGCAATATGCTAGTAGTTCACCTATTGTAGTTGCTCCTTCTCCTCCTAGTACTTCCGGAGCTAGAAACTACTTTGATGATTATGACCATTTTGTCGGTACTAGTGCAATATCTCAAGTAGGAAAGTCACAACTTGAGATGTACCTAGATGATGATGCTTTAGATCTCAATTCACAATTAGATATTTTGGAGTTTTGGCATCAAAGTTCTGTGAGGTATCCTGTGGTATCTAAGATGGCACGGGATTTGTTGACTATTCCTATAAGTACTGTAGCTTCGGAGTCTGCTTTTAGTATTGGAGGAAAGACTGTTTCGGCATCGCGAAGTTCATTAAAGTCAAAAACAATTCAAGCTTTAGTATGTATGCAAGATTGGCATCGTGAAAGCAATCAAGTAGAGGTTGATAGTGAACTTGAAGATGAAATCATTGAAGAAGAAGAGGATGATGATGCAGACCCTTTCTACTAGGTAATATTCTCTTGTTCATTTCTCTACTAATAGTTCTGTTTTTTAGTCACATTACATTAAAGTAGTAAAGATTTGCTTGGTAGTGGTTGTTTCTGTCCTTGCTGGGTGCAACTTATGTCTGACTTCTGTTTTTTTTTTTTTTTTTTTTTTTTTTTTTTTTTTTTTCTGCTGGGGGCTGCAGGTCTTGTTTCTGTGTGCTGCTGGCTTTTTGGTTCTGTAGTTGCTTGTGTTGGTGTGGCTGGGAGGTGCTTTGTAGCTGCTGCTGTTGCTGGAGGCTGTTCTGAGTTCATGAAGCACTCAGAGCCAAAGAGCTTGTTTCATTCCTACTGCTGCTTCATTCTTTTGTGGTATCTGAGAACATTTGCTAAAATGTTGGCAATGAACTAGACCATTCTAGTAGTATTTCGTAAATCTAGAAACTAGTATATTACAATTGATGTAACAGGGTTAGTACTCTTGGTGAACTTATTTTGGCGTGCTGGTTTTCTCTACACAGGCTCTACTTCTGGTTTTATTTTGATGTGAAAGATTTTTATGAGACTTTGATCCTGCATATATCTTTGTCTGAGCACAAGTATACTATTTAAAGATTAGTATACCATTTAAAGATTAGTATGCTATTTAAAGATTAGTAGAAGTTAATGGCCCGTTTTACTTTTACCTCGACCCTGACCCGACCCTGACCCGCATTGACCCTGACCCGACCCTGACTCGCTAAATATTCATCATGACCCGCAACCGACCCGCCCCGCTAATGACCCGCACCGACCCGCCCAATAACCACCCCTATTGCCAATACATCATCAAGTGTAACTTCAGTCTTGAAACCAAGTTCTGTCAATACTTGGAGTGATGAGATTTGCCAGAAGTTGGTTTATGATGTTGTGCAACATTCAGGTTGAACTCGCTCCTTGCTTGCCAGCCTTTCAAACACAGAGTCATAAAATAACCTCGTTCCCCACTTGGCAGCCTCTCAAACATCACCTCACTAGGTACAGAAAAAATATTGTACTTTAAAATTGATTTAATTCACATTTGAATAATATTAGTTTACTTTAGTCACCAATGAAAGACACGACTTATCTCAGACAATTAAGCATCAATGTATCATAAGCATCACCGTATATGTTAAATTTTGCCAAATTTCGGCACATTCAACAATTCATCCGTCTCAATTTGATTTACAGCAGAAGAACTCCAAAATTGAAGAACTAGTAAAGTAAAATGTAAATTTGATATCGAAATTGAACTCGTGAAGATTTTCGATGAGTTTGATTAAGAAATTATTAACGGTAAACCCTGGATAGTGAGATCAAATTCTGATGATTTAGAAAAAGAGAGAAATAAAACATCTTACCTCAGAAGCTGCTTCAATGGCATAGAGAAAGATCGGAAGCCGCTTCAATGGTTTTACCTAATTTGTGTCGAAAAATTACACAAATCTGGGTTCAAATTGTAGATTTCAAGACGATGATGAGTTTCAGCAACATGAATTTCAAAAATTCGCGTTGAATTGATAAGATTTGAGCTTGAAAATGGTAGAGGAGAACGAAAACGGCGTTGGTGAGGAGAGAGAAAATCGCGGAGGAGAGGAGAGAGAAACTCAGTCAATTCGTCTGATTTAATTTGGGCCGTTAGATCGCACGCTTTTGGTATTAGATCAGACGGTCCAGATTAGTTCCTAGTTCCTATTATAGGATTGGGTTCTCATTATAACCTGGTCCTATATATATATATATATATATATATATATATATATATATATATATATATATATATATATATATATATATATATATATATATGTTTCTCTACTAATTCTTGTGTTTGCAGGTTTTCTTGTTCATTTGTGGATTTATTTTAATGGCTATTTTTTATTTTCCGCAATTTGAGAATGAGGTGTTTTGGAGATATTTTTATAGGCTTGGTGATTTTGTTGGTCCTAATCATGGAATTGAAGAATGGAATATGTGTTTAGTGATTTATGAGGGTCTAAATGAAGAAACTAGGTTTGTAGTTGAGTCTATGTGTAGTGGAGAATCTTTTGGATGGGATTTTATTGAGTGGTTAGCTAGAGATACATACGAGTGGGAAATGACAACGTATGCTATACCAACTCTAGAAAAATTTTCTTCCTTCACTTTTTTGACCAATACTCCATCCCCTTGCTATTGTTGTCATTGTAATTCATATGATCATGATGACTCTTTTTGTTCTTACAATAATTCTTTCATGCATGTTTCGAATCTCTCTCCCAAGTATGAACTGCATTCTATTGTGAAATCTAGTGCCTTACCATACATTTATGATGATGATGAACTGGATTAAGAATGAAAATTTTAAACAGAGCGTTTATGAATTAATAAATGTTCAGGATGAAAATAAGGTGGATATGCTAGATATTTTTGAGGATGATGAGCCATTATTTGGTGAATTAGTGGTTGAGGGACCATTAATTATAAAATTTCAAGGTAAAGACTCTTGTGTTGACAAACTGTTAGAAGAAGGTGAGATTATTGGTAAAATCAACCATGATGAACCAACCCTACCTTCTCCTTACGTCTCATTTGTAGAGAGTCTTGATCTTGTGAATTCATCCTCTATGCTGAGTTCTTCTAACTTTTCCAAAGTATTTCCATTCCATGACGGTGGTAAAGTACGTAGACCTTGATGTTCATTCTAAAAGGTTTATATTTCCTAAGGAACAAGTATAGAGAAGTTGCAAATTCTTTCCCTTTTCTTTTTCTTGTGATTCTTCTTCTTCTTCTTCTTCTTCTTCTTCTTCTTCTTCTTCTTCTTCTTCTTCTTCTTCTTCTTCTTCTTCTCATTTGTCATTTTATTTTTCTAACCCCCTGCATTTTAAGATTTGTGTGCTTGCATTCAAGCCATATGTAGTTTCTAATGATATGTTTGTAGGTGCATATGATAAGTTACTCAAGGCATTGGATTCTTCCAATTGATGATTTGAGTAGGGTCATGTGGGACCTTAAAAACCAGCCCTTATCCGGAGGCAACCCAATTTTGTTTTTGTTTTTGTTTTTGTTTTTGTTTTGTTTTGTTTTTTTTTTTTTTGTTTTGTTTTTTTTTAAATTTCTTATTTTGATTTCATTTTTTTATTGTTATTTAAATAACAATGCTAATGTGTGTTCAAGTGATGAACTTTGTTGCTAGGTACAAACATAACTAAGTCCCTTGGCTACGTCGGCTACCCAATTACAACTACCAATTTATAGTGGAGGTGTCGATACCTTTTGACGCTCCCCTTGCTTACCCACCCTTTTGTGAGTTGTACCTCTCCCTTTTTTATGCCTTAGTTTCTTCTTTGTTCACATTGAGGACAATGTGATGTTTAGCTTGGGGGAGGATGATTGTCATCATCACTTTGTGCATGTTAGTTGCGTTTTAGTTTAATTTTTACTGCTTTGTAGGTGTTGTTGGTTTGTACCATTCATTAGGAGTGAGAGTTTACATATAACGAAAAAGAAGTATTGCTTTCTTAGTTTAGTTTTGTTTTTGTTTCTGCATTCTTGTGCCTATTTTCCATATTTTGACTTCGAACCGTGTGCAGATTATAGATTTTTTTGAGCTTCTTCTCATCATAGTTATGATTTTGAAATTCAGTCGGTGTGCTTTATACGTCGATAACTGCGTAGCAATGTAGCCTGCGATTAATTGGTTTGTGGTAAGATGTTTTGCTCTTTTTGAGTCTAGCTAGTCAAGATTTTGTAGACCCTAAGACATGTGAGTTTTTAAAAATTGATTGATTGACTGTCACATTTATAACAATTTGTATTTTTGTATTTGTGATAGTTCCTGGTGCAACATTGATCTTGATTTTGCCTTGAGACTTGTAGTAATTTGGTTGTGATGAGTGCATGATGGAAGTGATAAAGGTCTTTTCTTTTTCTTAATTTGAGCCTCGAGAAGTTGTTTTTGTATATTTGCTCCCTAATTGCTACCCATGTTGAGCTTTACCCTTCATTTGAATTAGCCATATTACAAGCCTTCAGCCTCAATTGGTTACTATTCCCAAGCCTAGCTTGGGGGAGTGGTCCATCTTGTGATTTGTGACTTATATTTGGCTAAATATTTGATTTGAGGTGCAATAAAGGAGATTTTTAATGGAAATTCAAAGTTATTATTCAAAAAAAAAAATTGAAAAAAGAAAGAAAAAAAATAGCAGAAAAAGGGGTATGAAAAAAAAGGGAAAAGAATGAAAAAATATATAAGGAAAAAAAAAAATTGAAGAAAGAAGGGAAGAAGAGGAAATCAAATTACTTTGGTGTATAGTATTTTTGATTTGGCTTTTATGGTGTATAGGGAAGCTAGATGCTAAACGAGGTTATCTTTGACGTGCATTTGGTTGTGTTGTTATTGTGGACTATCATTATTCCCAGCTAGCTCATCTCTCACATTTCCCAAAATGTATGTCCTACCTTTCACCCTAGCCCCATAACAAACTTATAAAGACCTTTTGATCTTCATCCATAAGTTATGATTGAGTGGACCTAGTGTTGAGTAAAAGTTAAAGAGTATTTATTGCATTTCGAGTCGACATGGTATATGTTTAGTGTTTGTTATACCCCTAAGCTGGTTGGGGCACCTCTCGTGCAAGACTTCAGCATATTCTACAGGAAATCGTCAAAGCCTAGCTCGAAAAGAGACCTGTTGATGGCCTAGATTGGTAAGTTAATTGCAAGACTATGAATGTTGCGTGGTTCTATTTGTATCCGAGCCAAATTTCGATATCGCTAACTTTGGTTTGATTGTTTGCTCGAGAGTCGATTCGGTCTTATTCTGGTTCCCTAGAAGTCTTATTTGTCTTATTTCTCCATTTTGAGTCAAGTGTTTCTTGGGGACAAGCAACAGTTTAGCTTGGGGGAATTTGATGAATTACATTTATATAGGATTTATAGGCACGTTTATACTAGTTTTACAGTTAAATTTTAGGTCTTTTAGTCCCTTTTTATGTCTGTAGACATCTACTTTTGGTCCCATGTCCCTACCGGAAGTGCTATGACGATAAATAATTCCATCTTTGTGCTAGATTGAAGTAAGGAATGCTTATGGACTACTGATTAAGGCCTAAATACATAAAACCAACTACCTTGACTCAAACAAAGTGAACCAAAGCTTGTTAATACTAAGCCCGATCAGAAATTAGGCCTAATCTTGAGATTAAACCTAATTTTGACAGATTTAGAAGTGCCTAGATTAAAATCTAGGGCTGCCGCAGGAAAAACCACGCGCAACTCACAAAGTTGCGCATGACACCTAGCGCAACCTCCAGAGATGTGCTTGCGGAAGATTCAGAATTTCATAAATATACTGAACTGAATCTTACCATAAAGCCACGCGCAAGACCAGAGGTTGCGCTGCCTTGTGGAGTGCAGCTAAATCACTTGCGTGTAGCAGCCGCGCGCAACTTGCTGCGACAGAATGTCTGAAACCCTAAACTCACCCATTCCCTATCAATAGAGGTTCAATAAAAGCTTTGAACACACAGAAATTAGCCTAAAAAGTCAGCAGTAACTTTGAGAACTTACGCAATAATCATCCGTCTTGTCCTAAACACTCACCCTTTAATTGCTTTGTTCTTACGGTGGAGGTTCCCGAACAAGGAGTCCATAAGTGTTCTAAACGAAGATCTAGCAAGGAAAAGTGGTAAATTCCCGAGCACTTAGATAAATCACCTTTCTTTTCTTGCTTAAACAACCTTTAATTAATTAATTAGTGTTGTTTAATCACCTTAAATAAACTTTTATTAATTAATTTCACATAGTATTCTTGCGTTAATCAAGACTAGAATTTGAATAATTAATTGTTTAATTTATCACCTAAGCCAAGGCGAATAATGTTTATTTCTTGTTCCTTTCACAAATTTGAATAACAAAGAATAACGACATTTGTTGTAATGTAATCTTTATGTGATCAATGCTTGTAAATAAAATCAACTAACTTAGTTTTAAGTATCACGTTGCATATATTGTTTGGTATTGAAATTGTGAAAAAGGAAGAGCTAGTAGAGGCCGCACTTGGGCTAGAATAGAGATTCCTCCCTAAAAGAAACGTTATTTTAGTACCCTCGCTCCCAAACTCATTTCTGGTACAAGTAGACCAATTTGGGCATGGGTAAACTTATGATTCATGCTAAATATCCCTTGAACCCTACTCGGGAGAAAGGCATGAACGAGATTTATGAGTTTTCCTAAAACTCATTGGCGACTCCTTACTAGTTTCTTACAAAAAACTGTAATGATAGAATCAATTCTAATTCAAGGTCACCCAAACAGTCAGGAATTCAAATCCTATCACACCTTCAAAAAGTGTAAAGTCCTAGGCAAAGGGCCATGGGCATAGAGGAAGGGGATCCTCAACGATGGGTACACCCTCCTCACAGTGGCGACTCAACTGGGGACTTAGAGGTTATAAGATTAGTCCTTAGTTATGGTTCAAGGTTTCTGACTTAGGTTACCTATGAGTTATAACGAGGGCTAACTTGGATAATCTCTAGTTAGAAAGCGAGACTTGAATGCATAATATCTTCCTTTTTCACAAAAGTTAAAGCTAAACAAGAAACATTGCATAATCATAAGCACCTTCTAAACATTGGGGATTGGCTCATTGACTAGGGGTCTCCAACACCA